TTATAGTAAAATTATAAAACACATCACCTCGTCCCCTCCTTTTAACACACTGATCTCATTGTCTTCAAAAGTGTTTTTTCTAAGTGAAGTGATGTAAAGGTGTCCTTTTTTCCCCCGTGAACAAAACCATCAATAGTACACCAAAGTTGGTTCTTCATTTTCATCTTCTATATGTGTATACAAATAATTATTTCTATTGTCCACTCTTTAAACAAAAATAAGATTAGTATCACCCCATTATGTCTATAGAGCAAAGTAATTCCACCACAAAACTTCCTCTATTTTTAACACCACAATCCATGAAATTGAAATATTCATCTCATCATCAACAATATTCATCATCATCAGGTGTATTAACACCACCAATTCACACTTGTTTAGCTTCTGTTCCTTTTAAGTGGGAATTACATCCTGGTAAACCTAGACCTTATTGTACTGATATTATTATTTCTTTCAATGATCAACCTAAATTCTTAGAGCCACCTCCTAGGTTTTACTATTTGGATAAAATGACCAAAATACCCTCCTCCCCTAAACTAAATGTCCTTCATGAGAGAGGGCAACTTGGTACTTTGGTTCTTTATAAACACGATGATAGTACTAACAATAATGTGTCTAGAAGAGGTTCTTATTGGTGGCAACAATGGTTTGTCAAACGACGTATTACGAAAGAAAATGGTGTCGGTAGGGGTAATTTGGTCATTTCAGCAGATTGTGGAACTGATGCTGGACTTGAAAGAAATGGTAACTTGTCTGGCTTCTCTCACCCTAACATTTGGGTAAGTTTCGTTTTAGGGTATGCTTTCTATTTACGTTTTCGTCTTTCGGAATGAGGTTATTTTAGGCATAATATATAAATGTATTCTTTTACTTGATCTCATTTCATATTTAAATTTTTCAATTTTGGATATGCACAAGTAGACACTTAAATTTGTATAAACTTGAATAAAAAGATACATGAATCTTACATGGCACGATACACGTAGGACAAAAACTGATATGTAGGATGTCATATGTGTTTATTTGTTCAACTTTATACAAATTTTAGTGTCTACTTGTGCAATCCCGAAATTAAAAGATATACATGTGATTTGAAATAAAGTTAAATGACATAGTTATGTATTATACCTTTTTTTTAAGAGTTTGTTAAAGTTAAAGGAGTAACTTTTAAGTCAGGTATAATAAGTAAGCATTATCCTTAACGTGATGTTAACTGATAATCATGACCTTTTACTTTGGGTGCGCATAAACTGATATTTAAAATTGAACAAATAGGCACATTCACCTTATATGATAATTTTGTATTCTACGTGTATACACTATTACAAAAATACTTTTTAACGGCAATAAATATATACATTAATAAATACTTTTAAAACTTTTATCGGTAAAGACTTTAAGGGCATATATTAAGATGGTTAATTGTCGCTAAAAGTATATATTTAGTGACAATTAAACTAGACGTTAATTAATTGCCGCTAAAGATCATTTTTGTTATAGTAATTATGCCTTGTAGAATATATGTGTCTATTAGTTTAATTCTATACAAATTTAAGAACCTATTTATGTACACACATAAAAAAGAATAGTAGGGATTTCTTTTTTAGAAAATATATTTTGGGATTGTAAAATATATATTAATGACAAGATATTAGTATTTTTTAAATTAAATCAACACCAATTATAAGTTCAAACGAACCAACTTAGAACTTTAGATTGGAATTTTTAATAATTAAATGTTTATAAAAAAAATTTATTTTAAATTTGTTTGCTTAACTTACCAAAATACCCTCCTAATGTCACCGTCCACAACTACTAGCAGTTGTCGCTTTATTGATTCAATCTTGTTTACTAATTTTAACTTTAAACCTTATCGACCGACAAGATTTTATAGCTAAACAATAAAAATTTCATGCTAATTATATTAAGTTATGAATTAACGATAGATTATTTCCTAAAAAATTCTAGGTAGTTTGAATTTGTTAGGGATTACTATTCATGTTCTCTAATTAAATTTCTTTTTTCTTTTTTTTTTTGTTCTTATCATGTTTCAAAATATACAGGCTTCCATGTACGAGGGTTTCAAGAATCTCATACCTTGGAAGAGCAAAAAATCAAAAAAAGAAATTATTAAAATTCAAACATGAAATGCTTTATCTACTAATAATATAATATATGTAGAACTCCTTTGTTATATACTTATGTTATATATTTAGTATAATATGATAAAAGCATAAATTATATTTAATTCTAATTACTCGCAACTTAAAATATTAATTACTTTATAGATTTAGTGCTGACTTATTCATTGCTTATACATTAATTAACAAAGATAATGTGTGTGTATATATATATATTAGAATTTTTTTTAATTCGTGTGTTTTATAAAATAAATGTTACGTAACGATTTGACTTTAAAATGTGATATGGATACGCTGCTAATATAGTTGCTTCCTCGTAACTTAACCATGATAGATTTCATTTATAGAGTTTTTAAATTTATAAAGGGTGACGTGTTTAGCTAATTCTTTTTTAATTTGATATTGATATGGTATTCATTGACATATGAATTTAGAAAGATGTTTGAGCTTTGAGTTATTAATTAGTAAGTTAAAACAACAAATAATAATAAATATTGTGAGTTGATATGACCATTATTATAGTACATTGCATGATCATCTTATATTATCATGTTAGATTCTCATTTGAGCATATCATATTTTATTAATAAGATGATATAACAATAATAATATATCTAGGATAATTTCACATAATAAAGTATATGGAGGAAGATGTGTATAAATTATCTCTGTTTCATAAGTTGATTTTGGAGTCCGAAACTTAAAGGGTATAAAATATTAATAAAAATTTTTGAAACGGTTTATAAAATTTTATATTAATCAAAACAGTAAAATCGCTGTAGATGCAGCGACTTACCTCACTTGAAAAAGCAAAATCGCTGCCTCTGCAGCGATTTTGCAAAAGTTATTTTTTTTAATAAAAAAATGAAATCGCTGCTTCTTAAAAATCGGCAGCGATTTTAATTTTTTTTTCAATTCTTGTTTTTTTTTAAAAAAAAGATACATCGCTGCCTTGGCAGCAATTTATAATTTTTTTTAAATCGCTGCTACACCAGCGATTTAACA